GCCGAACGCGTCGTCAAGCGACTAATGCTGCTGCACAAACGAAAATAAAAAGTACCTTCTCTTCTGCATAACCGCATTGGCGGCTATAATCTACAAGTTCGTACTAATGTATTCGCGGGGATTCTCGAAACTGCAACATTAAAATGATAAGCCCCTCCCGCCGGCCGGCCGGCCAGCCGCTCCGTCCCGACTTACGCGAATAAGTAAATTGCATATCGACGGCATCAATTTTGCGCGGCGCGTCTTCCCTCCTTCCCCCTTCCTCCCTCACAGCGTGACATAAATCAGGGGGACGTAATCGCATGTTATCTGCGCCGTGCCCGTCCCGTCCCGCCCCGCCCGGGCCCGCCGAGCTGTCCGTGATTTCGGAGGGTTTCGCTAAGCCCCATGAGCCCATGGGCGGCCCGCTGGCGGCGCGGAGCTGGGCCCCCTCGCACACCTGTCGCTGTCGTGCCCCGAGCCGGTCCCAGCTACTGCGAATTCTTGCATAATTCCAGCCGCCTCATCTGCTGTCCTCTCCCTGGACCTGGAGGGCCTGCTGGAGCCTGCCGCCGCCGCTGGAGGGGAGAGGGAGTGTCGGGGGAGGGAGTGAGGGGGGAGAGAGAGAGGCTAGTGAAGTGGAAGGAATAATCGGTCGCTGAAGATCGATGTAATCAGGGCCGCATAGCATGCATCATCCAAGGCGAAAGGCCGTCCGTCCGTGCGCCCGCCTGATCGTCCATCTGTGTGTGTGTGTGTGTGCCCATGAGTCATGAGTCCATTGTCAGGCTCGCCATCGCCCGGCAAAAGAAGCAATATTATCCCTTGAAATAAAAGATGGCCGATAACGTGATCCACGTCGCAGATACCCTGGAAATGCGCGCGCGGCTCCATCCATATCCACTCCGGGCGGATCATTGCGCCTCCTCCGCCCGTCCGTGGCGTGACCGCCGCGACGATCAGAAGGAATAAAATAGAAATAAAACTTTCCTCGGATGGGTAAGGTGCAGGTGCGGGCGGGGGATGAACCTGTTGTGTGAGTGGGTGTTGGGTTCACACAGACACGACGGTCTCCTCCCTCATCCTCACCGGTGTACCGCTCCCATTGCTTGTTTTCAGGCCGAGACCGACCCGGCAGGGGTCCGGCCGGGCCCCGAGGCCACCGATGGGGCTACGGGGGCTGCGGGGGCTCCCAGGGCCTCCTTACCTCAGCGGCGCCAGAGCACGTCAACCTCGGCCCGTCCCTTTGGCTTTGATTAATGTTTTACGGGCGGGCGGAGAGGCAGAGCGGGGCGGAGCGGGGCAGATACCACCCACCTCACCTCAGTAAAAGGGTTGTGGCTGCTCAAGGCTCTGGACCGTCCCCGTAGGTATCACCCAGGTGAGTTACCTTCCAACGGATCGGGGCTCCGACGCGGTGGGGCGCCATAAAGGCGAGTAAACAGCGACAGCCCGAAAATGGCTCCATCTGACTGTAACGAAAGCAAGAGAATTAAACATGTTATTCGATTATTTTTGCTGAAGTGTTCTTTATTCCCTGAGTCAAAGTCATGTCAACCATTTTCTCTATTTCGGTCGTCGCAAGTTCACGCACACCGGGCGCCATGCGGGACAGAGCTCGATGGCGCCGTGCACCAGCTTGCGATTCGCTGGTTGGCGCCGGGCTCACCCCCATAAGGCCTGGGCGCAGCCGCCCCGCCCTCCGCGCGGCCCAGCCAGCCACGCGGCGAGGCCTGGTCACAGGTGCACGCCGGCACTCGGGTTCCCATGGGCCGGGGCTGGGCCGGGGCTGGGCCGGGGCTCTAGGGGTGGGACCAGCGGGGACCAGGGCGGGACGATAGACCACGCCTACAGCCCTGCCTTCTTCACCCAAATGCAGGCCGCCATACAGTTGTTGGACGCCACGCCGCGCCACGCCACTCGGCATAAAAGGTCGACATCCGGGACGAGCAGCGCGATGAACGGGCAGGTCAAGAAGAGAGGTTTGCACGACACATGGGACGCACGCCGAGCCTCCTCCCGAGAAGCAGCGCCCGGGGTCATCCACAGTCTTCCTGGCCTCGGCCCCGGCCGCCCTTCCGAGGAACCCCCCTCTCTCTTTGAGTAAGCCTGCGGCCAAGCTCCGGCCACGGACTTTCCCTGCTTCATAGATTTTCGCCGAGAAGAGCGACATCTGTTCGCGCCAAAAGACGCGCAGCAGCAGCAACGGCAGGTTATACGCGGGAAAATCAGTGCGGAGCTGCTCCGCTGAGGGGTGAGCGAGCGAGCGACCGTTTTGATTCCTGGACGTCAAAGTAAAGAGAAAGGGGAGGCAGACTGTGTCGGCCAGAGACTATACCCTCCCCTCCCTCCCCTCCCCAACTGCAGCGCGCCACCCTTCTTCACCTCGCAGCTGTGCCATGCTCGCTACGCGGTGCGTGGAGCCCAGCTGGACCGCGTCACACCACACACACACGTGCAGCCGCGGGGTGGCGCGGCGCGGACCTACCCCCCGCGCAACCCGTGTGAATGTTAGACAATCGAGGGGGTCCTCGCAGATGTCGGCTCGCCGGCTCACGGCGCAGCTGAAGGGTGGTTATGATAAGCGCGGCGGCGGGGTGGGCCAGCTGGAGCAGAGCTGGAACCTCCTCTGGAGCCGGAGGGAAGCGGGGTGCGCCGGCGGCGCGGGCCTCTGCCGCAACTGCCCTGCATGCGACACTTCCGCAGCTGCAGCCAGTACTGTTGGCCGCCCTGCTAACAGCCCTATGAGAGAGAGCCCCGCGGAACTGCCATGCAGGGAGAATCCGTAAATGTTGCAGGGCAGCAGCAGCTCTGTGGCAGCGAGCCAGCAGCAGCAGCAGCGGCAGTCCTCTCTCTCGCAGCGCAGCCCCACGGCTGTGGCAGCTGTGTGGCAGCCCCGTGGCCGGCCGGCCGTGTAAGATCAAGGATAGGCAGGGCGTTACTCCGCGCGGAGGCGTCGAGCCCGCCCGGCCCCGCCCCAGCAGGGCCCCACAGGGCCCCAGCAGGGCCCCAGCAGGGCCCCACCACCGCCGGGCCCGTCGTGTCGTCGTTGCCTATGCCGCCCCGCCAGGGCCACAGATAATCAAGTCTTTCGCGTTAAATTATTGCGTTTGAACAGCGATAAGCAAGGCAGATTGAGGGCAAGAACCCAAGACGATTCTTTTATGAGGCTCGTAGGCCTATAGGCTCGGCGCTCCTCGCAGCCGACCCCTACTACGTGAGAATGTCACTCGCGCGATAATGTTCAAGCAAAGACGGACTGGCGCTCCGAGAGCCTCCCGCTCTGCGCTGCGCCGTGCAGTCGCGCACACCCGCCGCCGTCGTCGTCTGCTTTTTCCCTCTGCTTCTCCGGCCGGATTGCTTTCATACTTCTCCCGCTTCGCGGCGCAAACTGGGGCAGCTTCCGCTTTGTGGTCAGGCTGTCATCCCATCCCGTAGCCCCGCGCCATGAATGGCATAGCTGCCATGGACTGGCTGCCGACCGGCCGGCCGGCTATTTAGCAGAAAACAAGAGAAAATCGCTCGCTCGGCCGCGGCCATAGCAGCAGCATCGCAGCATCCCAGGAGGGCAGCGGCGGAGCAGCAGCGAAAAACGCCGCGAGAAGATTTCCGAAAAATGTGGTCGCGCGACTTGCACGGCAGCTGCTGTTGCCGCTGCGCCGCTGGCCCCGCGGCTTGATTTTCCCGCTCGGGCAATAAGGCGTGTTGTTGTGAATGGGACAATGACGTCACTGTGGGAACGGAGCCTGGGAAAACGCGAGAGGGGGGGACAATAAACAGCGACAAGTTGACTCTCCCCTATTTAAACGCATTCAAGTACAGCATGAATTGGGACGGCAAGGCCGGGCGGGGCGGGGCGCGGCGCGGCGGGGTGCGCAGACGGTGGGGTGGGGAGACTTCCGACGGCGCGGCGGCGCGGGGTGGACCTCCGCGCAGCCGGCTATCCGCGAACGCGTGAGATTTTCGTTCGATCTCGCGGGTCCGGTCATTCCGGTGACCGCTGTGGTCGTCCTGCCCCTGCTGCCGTGTGTGTCCTCTCCTTCTCCGCGACACCGCTGCTGACGTCACGTCGCCGTCGTCCCGTCGCGCTTCAGTTCGACTGCTCGGATCAAATTTTTGTCCCGCGGTCCGGTCACACCTGAAGGGTGAGTGACCGCGCGACCGCAGTCGCCAGGGACCGTCCGCCCCGGCCCGCCCCGCCGCGCCGGCGACGCTGGGCCTCTGGACACCTGCAGGTGGCCCGCGTCCAGCCGCACTGCCCGGCCCTCCCTGCCCCCTGCAGGCGATAAGACACGGCGGGCGAAAACAACGCGCTGACCGGGCGAGCCGAGCTGTGCAGAGCTGTGCCGAGCTGTGCCAGTGTGGCTGATAACAGATGAAGTGCGGTCTAATTCGAGGCGCACCGGACGCTTCCTGCAGAGATAAGGCGAGGGCATACGTCGGGACAGCTGCCCCCGCGCGCCGGCCCCGCACAGGCCCCAGCGTCGCGAGCAGCTCTGCCACATCATCAATTGATTATTGGAACAGGAAAACAATCGGAAGAGTGCGCACACATCGTCCAAGGGCGGCGAATTGAAATGTCATTGGCTGTTATTAAGCAGCTGTAAGCAGCAAATCTCAAAGAAGTCATTAGACAAAAAACTGGAGAAATCAACACCTTTCGGAGGGTGCTTTTTAGCGGCGCGGACTGGACTGCCATTCATCGGGATCCTGGCCTGCCCCACAGAGGACGCCTTGGGCCGAGTGGCGTGGCGTGGCGTGGCGTGGCGTGGCGGCGCGGATTGGAGTGGACAGTCACACGGCATTCCACGGCGACGCCAGGCGCGCAGCGCTCCCGCAGCGCTCCCCGCGGCCGCCGGCTCAAGCGAGCCGTGGGGAGGGGGTTTTCAAAACATCGCGCAGCCGGGCAGAGGCCCCGTGGTTGGCTGCAGCTGCTGCAGCACCAGCGTGAGAACGCCAGGGGATTGGCTCCGAGCGACACTAGCGCTGCGCGCGGCCGCCGCCGTAGTCCGAGGGTATAAATCGAAACGCACGGGGAGGGGAGGGCATTCAAGCCGTGACTGTCGACCAGAGAGGATCCGTGCGCTCCGCCGTTCGACTCGCGACTTGTCTTTTTCTCATTCTCGTCATCTCGACAACCTTGTGCCCAGTGTGCGAAGCGTGTGACCTGTGGATAACACACCGCTCCGCCGCGCAGCAGCCAAGCCGTCAGTGATCAGTGAATAGTGCAGTGCATTTGTTAGTTCTCGCTCCTACTCGACACCATGAAGGCCACCACCGCAGTGTGTGATACCGTGGGCTCAGTGAACGGCGTGTCCGCCGGCCGAGTGCACAAGCCCCGGCGCGATGTGGAGAACGAGGAGGTGCAGATGTACCTGTCCAAGCTCAAGGAGCTGGTGCCCTTCATGCCCAAGAACAAGCGACTGAGCAAGCTGGAGGTGATCCAGCACGTCATCGACTACATCTGCGACCTGCAGTACGCCCTGGAGGCGCACCCCAACGCGGAGGCGCTCATCACCACCGCGCTGCCCACCGTGCAGGCCGTGCCCGCCCCCAACAGGGCCCACCACGCACAGCCCCGCCAGCCCCTCGGCGTCCTGGGCGTGCCCAACACCATCGTGGCCCCGGGCAACACCTGCGCCGTCCAGGAGCAAGTCTCCATCACGGTGAGTGTCTTAGCTGATAAGTGGCACACACTTACACACACCAACTGACACTCCTTGTCGATGACGTCTGCCTCTCAGTGCTCGTGTACCCGCCCCGAACCGCAACCGCCTTAATCTCGAGTGCCTATCATTATTATTTATTTATTTTAGTTTCGTTGGCCCGTCCGCGCTGTTCCAAGTTTCCTTTTTTTTTGGTCGGTCACGTTGGGGCAAAAAGGCAGAGTGGACTCGCGGTTCGGTTTCATGGACAGTGTCCCTGAGCCGAGTTGGAGCGGTGTCCGAGCCGGACCGGGCCGAGCCGAGCTGAACACCTGCATGGGTCGTGATTCAGTCCGGAGGGGAGGGGGACGGCGTAGGGCGGGGGGAGGGGGTACACTTAGGCCCGTCACACGCGAAACCATCGGTCGGGCCCGCGCTAGGCGCCAACACTCGCAGTGCCGTGCTGTCGCGGCTGGCTTTTTTGTGGTTTCCATTGGCCAACAACAACTTTGAAATTGGCGCCCTTCGGTTGGGCGGACTCATCGACCGCAATCTGTGCCTCGGGGCCGGGGCCCCGGAACTGTTCACATGTGTCAGCGTGACGCTGTCCCCCTCGCCCGCCCCGCCCCTCCCGCACCCGGGCAGGTTACGCCACTTGAACCTCGCGGCCCTCGCGGCCCGGCGAGGCCAGCCCGCGCGATTGTCGAACTGTGTACGGCGTTCTCTTAATGGGCGCAGGGTCCGGAGGGGCGGGGCGGGGAGGGGCGGGGCAGCGGGCGTGGAGCCAGACCGTGCAGGTGTTCGGTCCGTGCGTCTGTATTCTGTGCCGCGCTCCCCGCTCGACCCGACTCGGTTTCTCTGTCAGGACCCTGTTAGCGTTCCTGCCTGGAAAGAAACGAGCGCTGAGCTTGGCTCTGCTCGGCACCCAACCCGATCTTGATTTAAGATACATTTTATTTTTTTGCGCGAGCGCTCCTGCGGAGGGCGTTGCTTCTTTCCCGCGGGTTGCAGCAGGGGCTGCCAGCGTGGCTTTTAATCAGCGCGGGGGAAGGCGGGCGCTAGGCCGCCCCGCCCCGTTCCACCCCGCGGGGGGACCTAAAGGTCAGATATCTTGTTAGGCAACCTCCGGCTTGCCGCTGGAACGCGCTGCCCGCGGCCTTACGGAGCAGACATTTTAAAAATTGACTCTTATCTGCCCCTCCCGTCCCGTCCCCTCCCCCTCCTGTCCTCCGCTCCTACTACTTCATGGCCCACTGACGCGTGACCGTCAGTCGGCTTCCCACGGCCGGCCCGGCCAGGTTGGGCTGCTCGCGGCTCTCTGAGCGGCTCGCTCCGTAATGAATCTCGTGTATTCCGGTGCACGTGGCCACACGTGGCCGGCCCTGGCGCGGCACCGACACACGTGGGCGCGGGGCGGGGGTGGCTCATCTCTGCGTGGCCCGAATACGTCGATGCTCCGTCATGGAGGTCTACTTTCTTCTTTCCATCTCCGTCTCGCTCGCTCGCGTTGAGGGCGACGCGAACCGAGTGAGAGGGAGAGAGAGGGGGGAAAGGGGGTCCTCCTCCTCTGCCCCCCTTCTTTTCGGACGCGTCAAAGCCGAACAAGGAACACTGAAGGGGTCGACAAGAAAAGCGTCGCGTCGCGTCGCGGGGCTCTTGCTGCATAGGATTAGCATTTAGTGAGGTGTGCACTGCCTTTTTGAAGGACGTGCTCGACAAGGAGCCAGACAAATGCACACACAAATACCGCCTGTCATTTCTCTTGAACACCTTGACTAAAGAATTTGTTTTTCTTTCTGATTACAGACACCAAGCCACCTAAGGGAGAAGGTGCCGTCAGCAGATAGCCGGCAGGTGTCGTGCTAAGTCATCACCATTTTCGTCATCACTGTTTCATCATCTCGTCACCACTGTCATCGCCATCGCCGCGTGCTTCATCGCTACTCATCATCGTCATTATCACTCCCCTGGGGTCGCCAGTGAATCCCTAGGATCACGTCACTAAGATTGCCATTCGTCATTTTGAGCAGGATCTGCTTAATGTTAAGGAAAAACAAAATGACATATCCTGCAATGTATTTTCAGCGACTGAGTTTGTGTAAATTTCAAGTGTAGCAGACCTGTAGAGATTCACTAACTGTGTGCTAAAGCACCATTTGAGCTATTTCATATTTTATTAAATTATAATTTATTTTGTTTTCCCTTTTATATTTTATGATTGAATTTATTTTGTAACTTTGGTAGTATGCGTTTCTTTGAGTTCTTTTTGAGTTAAAAATCACTCCCGGTTTAACTCAGATTAAAATAGAAGTTTAAAAATAGCTACACTTGTGGGATCACTGAGATAACGCACTCTACAGTGAATGGTACCTGTTATTTTCTTATAAAAATCGTTATTTTGTTTTTATTAATTGGACTGGTCTTGAGTGAGAGGAGACTATACAGTGCATCTTTTTTGGAGCATCAAAACATAAAACCTGACCCTTTTGGTAAAAATTGTTTCATTATTCATTGGTGAGAGGTCTATTTCAAAATTTGTTAACTTTTCTGTCAAATATTTTTGATGCATTTGTTGACTGATGCCCCCTCAGGCCAGTTTGCCTATTAATAAAACGTTGTATATTTTGTTGTCTGTGATGTTAGAATTTTCTTTCTTTGTACAAAATGTATAAAGTAGAATGATGTTTAAGAATTGACATTATATGTTAGTCATACTTGTGAAAGCATACATTCATCTCATCCTTGTTTGGTGCATTATTTCACCAACTGATTTTGTTTTCGACTGATGTCTGGATAAGGTTAATTATTATTAAACAAGTATGAATTTAATCTGCCTGTGTTTGCCATTGAACACTCCTCCCCTGATTCTAAAACGTAGCACTGTGAATTTCCATGAATACAAATGAAAACCGAAACTGTGAGATGGCCGCGAGGACTACACAAACACTCAAGCCACTATACCCAAACACGGAACAAGTCTTCACTTCAGTGCTGGCCTCAGCCTCAGCCCTGGGCTCACGCCGCCGGCGCGTTTGCTGCGTTAGCGTTACCCAACTAAACTTCCCGAGGATAGTTCAGCCTCTTACGTAAGGCCCGGTCGACTGGCTGTGGAGCCCGGCGAGGCCCCTGGGCGTTAGGCAGCACACGTGGCGCCAGAGCGAGGCGGGACGGGACGGCCCGCGGCGCGCAGCCCTGCCCCTCGCCGCGCGCACTCTCAGCACCTGACAAGCAAAATAATGTGACGTCTTAATAAAATTTTACAAAAATTTGGATCACATTGGCGTTGACATTTGTCTCTGGGTAGATTGAGCACCCTTCTGCTTGAATATTGCACCTACGCTGATGCGGTGGCAACGGCGGTCTACACTGTGGTGGCCCAGCCCCGTTGGAGCAAATGGGTATGCTAGCCCGCATGACAGGCGCGCTGGCGTGTTGCCTATGGGCGAGGAGCGCCGTGAGGTGAGGCGCCCAGGTCAGCGACGATAGGCAAACCCGCCCGCACTCCTGCATGCGGGCTTGTATACCCATTGGCTCCAACGGGGCTGGGCGACCATCCTATCTATGGGAAGGGGGTGGAAGTAAATAGCGACTTTCACACTACTTGTAACGTAACTGAAAATGCAGTAAAGAACTTAGCAGTCGCGGTGTAATTCGGTCCAAACCCATTATTTACTAACTGTATACCAAAGCACTATTCTTTGTATATTGCACTTAAAGACCCTAGAATCGCCTAGAATGTAAATGATTGATTTCAAAAAGTAAACTGTAAGTGGATCTGTGGATCTTGTGTTCATCTTATCTCTTGCGCTCACCCCCAATCCTAGATGCCCGCCCCCGCTGACCGAAGACGGCGTTACCCTGCCGTGCGGTCGCCGCTCCCCCGAGCAAATGTGTTGCAGCAGCGGGTACTCGAACCTGCGGTTCTCGTCGTCGGCGTTGTCCCCTCGTTAGCCGGCGAGCGCCTTTACGACCGTGTGCAGCGGCACAGCCATGGCAGAGGTGACGTCAGCGACCTCGTCTTGGCTTGACGCGCCTCGCTTGACCTGCGCAATGTATGTACCAGGTGGCTGATTCACGCCGCGCACTTCTGTAGTTATGCTGTACCGCATGCATGAGTGCGGGCGGGTTGCCTACTCGCTCGGCTCGTAAGGCGCCGTGGACAGGGGCGATAGGCAAGCCCGCCCGCACTCGTGCATGCGGTACAGCATAACTACAGAAGTGCGCGGCGTGAATCAGCCACCTGGTATGAGCGCGTCGCCGCGCCCCGCCGCGCCGCAACCGTGCACCGTGCACCGTGCGGCCGCAGACGCCTATTGAAGTGCCCACGAGCAGTTTTCCAAGTGGCAGTAACCCACAACAAACTTTCCAGCAGCGGCGAGGTGCTCGCGCTCACACAATGCAATCAAAGGGGGGAGCGGGGCTGAGCTTTCTAGGGCCCGGCGATGCACTCGCTCACTCACTCACGTGCTCGTCTCGGTATGCATGCACGCCCTTGTGCGCCGACAATTAGCCTCCGAGCCGCCGCCGCGGGAGTTAAGTGAAGGGGGCGGGGGAGGGGGGAGCTGGGGGAGCTGGCGTGAGATCAGCCACGGAGATGAGGGAACACACTCACCGCGACGGTGGACGTCCAGTCACCTTGAGGGCGTTAGCCGGGGGGCGGCCGTAAGCGCTGCGCCGCGCGTCTGGCCTGGACCTGGAGGCAGCAGCACCTCTCCAGCAGACTCGCGGGGGATTAGCGATTCGGTAAGCTGGGCATGCCGTCGCCGGTCATATTCAGGAAGAGGAAGTGAGGGAGGAGGCGCCCGGCGCGCAGCGGGGACAGGCGCCCAGGATGGAGTGTCGGGCCCTGCCCCCGCCCTGCCCCCGCCGCGACGGGGCGCTGACCAAAGCCGCCTGCAGCAGCGCCGCGCCAGCCCAGCACCGCCGAGCAACGGTGCCGCCGCTGTAAAAGGAGCCTTACTTCTTTAGCCAAGGTGTACAGTCCGTACCGGCTGCATAGCTACACGGGCGGGGGGGTGAGGCGGGGCAGGCCCCTCTTCCTGAACGCCCCTCCGCGCCCCGCCCCGCCGCGCCCTGCACGGGGCACGGCACGGGGCACCCATGCATGGCGTGGAGCTAGCGCCCCACCCCGCCCCGCCACGGCCGCGCCTTATGGGTGCATGGCACAGGTTCGTTCACCTCTCACATGCGCACACCATGCAACCGTCGTCAAAGGTTCACTCTCCGCGTTTGGCGACGCACGCAGAAAAAGAACCACACGGAAAGAAATTGAGGGGACCAGCAGGCTCCTAAGGCCTGGCGAGTCGATACTCCTGAAGGCGCTGCGTTCCAAGATGTGTTATGTGGTTGGATACCTCAGCCCCCACCCCCTCCTCCCGGCCGCTGCTATGCGTATACAAGGCGACCTTGCTGCGATTTGCACGTGTGTTCCTCCGAGCTGAGTTATAACCTCGC